TAGAAGAATCTACACCAAAACGTCGCATCATAACATAATAAAGAAGTTGTCATCCATCAAGTGTCATACCTTTCTTATTATTCATCAACTTCTAAAATGCCAATCAAACAGGCTCGCTGGTTTGGTTGACACATGTCATCGTATCCAAATAGTGTAGATTGATACTCATGCTGTTGATCACTGGATTGTCTGGTCCACACTCGATTATTTACACACCGCCGCTATATAGCTGGAATATTGCTTAGTGTGGTGTAAAACTTAACTCATTCACTCACTGATGCACTCAAATCGTGCAGGAAACTGAAAATGATACATATGCAATCTTGCGATCAACTGACTTTGTCTGCTTCTCACCCATTCTCCACTAAGTGGGACGATTTTGGGTTTGTAACATTTAAAAAAAAATGTTTCGAATATTATTCGAAACGTAAACAATATGTTCTTTTAAGCATTGGTGTTGAGTTTGTGAATGTGTTGTTAATCATATTTCATCACACATCACGTCTAGGATTGAAAGAGTTCCTGATGTACGGTAAATATGAAGAAGACATGAAATTTCAGACCATTTAAGAATTTTATAGGTATTTGTCGTTTAATATCACAACTTGACTGGCCTTCGGATGTAAAAAGCGATATTGATGCAAAGAAAAGTGAAGGTATTCTCTTAATGGTGGACTAAGTAAAATCACTGTTTCTAAGGAGCGGATTTCAGGAACATGAAAACGTATCTGATGTACTTTTCATTGTCATTGTATTGTATTATTGTATCATTCAAAATGCCTTCAGACATGTTTCCATGAGGTAACACAACTATTTGGAACAAAATACATATTATGAGAATAGATATCCTTTACACCTGCAACAGTGAGACAGAAGATGCCTGTTTAATGCATCTGATGGACATATCTTATTGTTGGATATCACTTTAAAGAACAAATTAACTTTGTTTTTTCTTACTCTTTTAACTATTACATATGAAAGATTTGTGGTCAGTCTTATGCGGAACACCAAATTCATTCTTTAAAACTTGTGGTTAATTAGTACAGAGAGCGATTAAAAGTTGCCAAAAAGTCGCCCTGCTTCACTCTCGCCAACGCGTTACCACAGACAGGTTACGTAACTCTGTCGCCAGAGCACTGCAGTGACGCCGCATGAGGAAGGATTTTCAGTTAGTTGTATAGAAAGTGTGTAGCAAGCTCGTCATTTTGATGATTTCGACATCAACGAAGACATGCCGAATCGTTGCTTTGTCGTCAATTGCTCCTAGAGGTCGAGCGATGGTGTCGCCATGCACAGATTTCCACAGGACCCCGCAGTTCGTGCAAAATGGGTTATGTTTGTGAGTGCGAAGCGAGCGTTGTGGAAGACTGAAACGATATCTTACTTGTGTTCAGATCGCTTCACGGATCAAAACTACTTACTAGTTGTAGTAAAATATGTATATGATTGATGACCATAAATATTTTCAATGGCACAACTTGTAACAACGATTTCTTCCTCGGAAGCGAGGTTGTGGTTGAAGTAACAATAATACTGTAAGTAGTATTATATTGACACCCACCTCGCTTCCATGAGAGAAATTCTTATGTTATAAGCTATGTCATGCAAAATCCTATTGGCCATCAATCAAATACATATTTTACTACCAGTAGAAAGTAGTTTTGATTTTGTAACTCGGTGAAAACAAACCTAAATAGCATTTATACTCAGACTGGCGGATGTTCACGACAGGGCGCGCCGCCATTTTTGAAAATCGCGAAGTCACGGGCTAAAGTCTGTTAGAATATTAATGAGATTATGGTTTGTTTTCATCAAGTTAGAAAATCAAAACTACTTTCTACTCGTAGTTAAATATGTATTTGAATCATAACCAAAAGCACTTTGCACGACACAACTTATAACATAACGATTTCTTCCACGGCAGCGAGGTGGGGGGTCGAAGTGACAATACTGTGCGATAAAAATTTCTTGCTACATTCACGTGGTTAACGTCCACTCACCAGTATGTAGATACTAGTCAATGTACGTCTTTATATTTGGTCTTATAATCCTAATTAGTTTATTATCATACTTGAATGCATTTTGAAACTAAATAAAAAGCAGACGATCTGCTGATACGTTTAGTGCATTTATAACAGGACTGTAATATCTAGACATTTTATAGATTGCCAATGTGAATGATAATTCGCACACACGCCCTAGTGTATGTCTCATTACACTTCACGGCGAAAACAACGATTTCTGTTGAATGCTACGACAAATGAATAAAAACAAAATGCAAATATTAAAATTAAAACAGATTAAATTTATAGGAACAATGTAAGGCTATTACCTTGTTCGAGGAATGTATCCATCAATATCCCAAAAAACGAGTGATATGCCATTAACATGATTAATCTGCAGCTGTTCCAAGTAATGTGTCTTTTAACAGTCTAGTATACGAAAAAGTGATAGATCGTTTCAGGTATGTCACATTGGTGTATAGTCTCATTGGTCACCCAAGATAGCAAACCTGGCAACTGATTGTATAATGTCCACCATTCTTTAAAAACGGTAATTTAGTTAGCCAATAATGAGCAATCAATCACTGTATTGGCGGTTAATCCTTTGAAGAAAGGACGTTGTTACGCAGACACAGACACGACAGAGTGTATTCAGTATAGATTAGTAAATCTACATACATAAACACTACCTTTTGACAAATCCGTTGTGTAAGATAAAAGTAATTAATCAATCAGCGTGTTATCGGTTAATCCTTTGATCGATGTTTATAATGTTGAATATTTACTCCAGACACAAGAAATGCCAAATGGGAACCTTTGTCGGGTAATCTAAGTGGTGTAACCACTAATTATACCTGTTATAAATTCATTAACTGACCATCAAGTGAATGATGACAAATAACATGTCTAGGTTTATACCACCTAACACGGGGGTACAACGAGGGAGTATTAATTGCTGTATTGCATGCAATTTTAACTGCATGTGAAAACTTATGGGCCGACACTGTTTTGAGAATAAAAACAGAACTTGTTGTTGCATAAGAAATACATATAAGCATTTGCTGTGTGCTAAAACTGTATGTACCTATTTACCTAAGTAAAATTTCAGATTCTTCTAGCAATGGCAAAATAGGGTTGTTTAGTTTACCGATGCAAATAAATCAAATGTCAATTTTTAATATCATACGTAATCAACGTCATAGATGTACTTGTAACTCTCATTGCCATGACATGATTAAATATCGAGGTAAAAAAACTCAGAAATGGGATCAATTTGGATCAGTCATTATACAAATAAGGCCTAACGACACCAAGCGATTTTGACAGAATCGTCTATGAAAACAAGTTGTCACTCGGAAACTAGGCAAAGCAGGAGACAAAATTATATGACAGAAGATTGTGAGAACATATAGCTTTCATTTTCCACAACAGTTGTCACGATTTCAGGTTTATACAAACCTGTAAACAAGATAATTTACCCCCTGAAATGTAGATGAATTCTGCATCGGCCCTCATATCTATTCCTCATATGACGTCACAGAGACGCCCCGCTCTGATTGGATGAAATTTCGTTCGCGGGTGTGAATTGTGCACTGTTGTCAAAAAGGTCGATTTAAGTTGATTAAAGATCGAAGTGAGTAGTTTTAATGACGGGGTTTCATTTATAGCGATGCCAGTTAGTGATTTATGTATTTGTACCCCCCTAGAGTATATGTGATCTTTAAAACAACAAAATCAACTCAACAATTCATTGTCGGATAGTACCTTAACACAATATTAACTCAAACAACCATTAACATTGTAATGCGACTGGACAATGTAACCATATATAACCATTATTTTACCAAAACATAAGACAACGAAATCATCCTCAGATATGTTAACAGTATTATCAGATACATGGATTAGAGTTTCACTAACACTAACTTTCAAGAGTTACATTAATCACCGTTTAATTTATGGAAAGGAGATTAGAGCATGACCACAATAACACTCATTGATAAATGTAAATGTTTTATAAACATGATCTAACAAACAAATGAATAATACCAAATTACATCAAATACGTTAACATACAGCAGTGTATGAGATAAGCCAAAAACCCAACCAGACATCAGGGCTGGTAACTTCAAATTGTTACCAGCCCAAAATGGATTTAACCAGACCAGACATCAAGATATGGTGAATTTACTCAAATTTACTAATTTTTTTACCAGACCATCAGGCTGGCTTGCTGTAAATTTAGAAATCTAGCCCGTCTCGGGCGGTCAGACGGGCCTTATTTCATACACTGCATACAGTAAGATACGTTAAACATTTTTGTTAGCATTTGTCACAGAGAGGGTTCAGTCTAAGGCTAAAGTTAAGATTATCATGCATATGCCGATGTAATCCGAATGAAAATAAAGTGACCCTTGTTTGTGGTTAAGGTATCTGATGAAAACGTATCTGCTGACCACTAACGTAGACCCCAGGTCATGTTTTATATACTGGGGATGATTGAGGCAAGTATATGAATATTCTTGATAAGTATTTGATACTGTCCACCATGAGGCCCTAAACCATACGATTAATGCAATGGTTGGTGTTTAATTAACTAGGTTCAGTTAACGTATCTGATGAAAATCGAATGTCACATGCCTTTAATCATTTGCGTTTGCAATTACGACAAAGTGAAAGTAGCAAATTGGAAACAGATTTCAGTTGCTTGACTTTCATGATTAGCCCAATCACCTTGTGCACTTATATTGTTACGGGGTACATTCTAATATTTTCACTATGTCTGCAAAAACGTATATTAGTTCATTCTCATGGTGAGCAGCAGTGGTATGCCCCTATCATTTCTGTGCAATGATGAATAAACTGACAGTATCAGTATCATAAAATTGGATCTTTCCTTTGGCGCAACATTCAGGTTGAAATACGCAGAAATAGAAAATACTCCAATTTCAGAAATATATCGAAGAAGCAAGCGAGAATTACTTCCTTCACACTTACCAGTAGAAAACTTCCTGACACTGAACGCATCGCTTCATTACTGAAAAAATCTGACCACAACAAGCGCAATACGGAAGAGACGCCATTATCGCTTCCATGGAGACGAAAGGTTGCACGCGCTGGGATGGAGCTTGTTGGTGTGCGGAGCGCAAGTGAGCACTCGCCACTTTCCGTAACCTCAAAGAATCGGAATAGAACACTAGTATGTTGGTTGGTTGTTTGGTTGGTCGGTTGGTTGGTTGGTTGGTCACACTCAGCAATTTCCAGCTATATGAATAACATGAGTAACGAATGAAAAGAGTTTGTGATGACTTACCTCCCTTGTCCCGTCAGATATGCTTGTCATGTGTTTTCGGGAATCATGCACCTTGCCCCTACCTTTTGTTTTAAGGTACCATGGAAATTATAGTCTTGGTTAAGGGTTAATTGGAAACACCAACAAAGCAGTTAACTTAAGAAATATCACCACCATCTGCCTATCTATAAGAAAATGACAGTTCCTTATTGCATAAAATAATATTCACAGTTTGCAATTTATAGACGTTTTACACATTAACGTTAACCAAGGAGACTAGAAGACGCTGTAGATTATCCCTGCGTTAACCTACATTGTCTTCTGTTAATCCGTGGTTCCTTTGTCTGTCTTAACTAACTGAATTGTCAGCTAATGGCAATGATAGTGATTCTTCTTCTATTCTATCATTTACCTGATCGAACAATTTCATGAAAGCAATTATATATTTACTAAAATCTAGACTAATGTTTTATCTGTTTACGAACAGCAAAATATGTGCTTTATTTGGCATGTGCATTGTACTTACGTTTTTATTGTGTAGCTTATCGTTCAACGAAATAATACGGCTCATACATAATTTGGTGATTGATAAATGTGCTCGAGTTAGTTCAAAATGACTTGTACTAACCCCGGGACATACATTTCATAACCCGAGTCGACAACGAGCGAGGTGTACGTGCGAAAGGCCATGGGAACATATGTCAAGTGCATTAGGCAAGGGCGGCATACAGCCCTTGCGTCGTTCAGCATACCTTTAAAATACATTTAACAAAACAAAGTTGGTAAGCATTTTCGGCTCTATAAATGCTAAATACGTTAGATCACTCGGATTCCGCTGTGTAGTCATTATATATACATGTATATTTATAGATCCTCGTTGTCTCCTATAAATATTCACATTCATACGTACATAGCATTTCCCCATTTTATAGTCCAACAAAGTAAGGTACTGTATCTGCAGTCATTGTTTCTCTGTCTGCAACTCATATTTTCAGCTTTTGTGGGAAAATGTCTTCGTCAAGGTGCCGGTCTATTCTTCTCTTGAATTTGAAGCCACAGACTGTCAGAGTAGCATTGTTCTTTGTTAATGTCTATATCACCGCCTATATGTTTCAATGACTGGTGCCTAATTTCCTGGTCTTGGAATTCCAGACTTCCAGATGCTTGGTTTTCCTGAAAGTATCGGCAATCGAAATGGATCTAGGATGTTTCTAGGGATTTTCGGATCTTGTACGTTTGCATACCAGTTATTGATGTCATAAAGTTTTGGTTCGGGACCAGAGAGGGGTATTCTTTTGCTCGGTTTTGAGGAAAGTCTGCAGTCTACATCTGTAGACGTTTCTCCATATTGCCGGGCGGAAGTGAAACATTCATCGCTTCCAGAGAGGAACACATGCATGGTCAAAGATGTCAGCGGGACATGGAACATTGAAACTTAACAACAGTGGCTTTAACAACATTGACTGCACCAGAGTAAAGAAACACTGTCATGTGACTTGCAATTAGATTTTTAAATTTCTGTCCTGAATGTTGCCCTTGTTTGTTCCTTTGCTAATATCAACTACACCATCATCTGAGGTAGACGCTGACCTCCACCTGATGTGCGGGATTCTCACGGACTCAGTAACCGTATGTTTGGATGGTACTCCCTATATGTCCAAGCTTGTGGCCACATGTGTTTGTATTCCATTAATGGATGTATGGTCCTCGATCGCGATTAACACGAGAACACCAACAGATCCTCTCGAGGATGCAACAAGTAATGGGCTAGATAAAACGCGTGCTTCTTGCTGAGAGCTGGAGTAATCAACAACCATTTAGAAGGCCTTCGTTGTTGTATGAAAATGAAAAAAAATCAAAATTCACACCAGAACATAATGTTTCTGGCGTTGTCTGAAGCTGAAACTAAACTTTTAAGTCCATCTCAACTGCAAAACTAAACACATGTAAGGCTATATCCCAAGACTATTTCAATATGTGTCTCAAACAACAATACTAATGAATGTTATTAAATTCAATAGTTTATGTACAATACAAGAGAACAAAGTGGCTGCTCAGCTGCTGGACCATGAACCCTGGCATGTGTAGACTGTTGGCGGAATGGGACACCAACTGTATCAACTGAGTTAACCTGGATAAGAGTTCAAATATACAAAACCGGCGTGCGACTTCAAACACTGTAACTATGGCATTCATCCTTGTATATTTTATGAATAAGGAAGTGACATTTATTGAAAACAAATTCCAAGGCAGTGATGTCTTACTTGATATTCAATATGTACGGGTGTGCCAGGACACAAAGTGTGTGAAGCCAGACGGGAAGACATCACAGGCAGGCAGAAGGAAATATAACAAATCCAAGCCACCAAGGATTGCTGATTGCTGTATTTAAATCATTAACATTCATATTTGAAGATCACCTAATTTTCAATAATAGATATTTACCTGTATTAGTTCGATGTATCTTCTGGTGGACAGTTTCTCCGAGACATTAAAATTGCGACTCCAAGAACTGGATTTGAAATGGTTTCTATACGTGATTCTGGCAACGACAGTACATATGTGTATATTTATCCGATCTTGTACTAAACTGTCGCGAGCCTCCCCATGCAAGAGCGATATTGCTATATTGAGCGCATGTTTTGAACAACCTGTCATTGTAATTTTCCCCATTTACTGATTAAAGTCCATATTGACCTTAAATATTTTGGGCAAAGGCGTACGTGATTATGTTTTTAAAACCAATCATCATGGACGTTAGAATGGATATGAGCTGGAAATTTGTTATAATGCAGGGGAGCTCACAAGACTGATGACTGTTGCCCCAGTGCACATTCCACTGGGAGGGAACCACTATGCTAGCCTATACGAAGTGGTATGACATTTTACACCTGTTACACTTGTCAGAGGCACTTTGGATATCCCAGATAATGTATTGTGATCCATGGTCTAATTATAGGATTCGGCATTCCTGCTCCCCATCCGCCATCGAGTGTCAACAAGGGTGATACTGCAGGAGATTCCAGCCTGCAACGTTAGGGCGGGGTTCAGCTCAGCTGAGTTGGCCATGTCACCAGACATGCATTTTAACCACCGCCTCCAGCAGATGACTTTTTTGTATATTTAAAGCACAAGAAAGAGTTGACGTTTCATGATAAATAATTTCAGAATTCTGGTTATCTGTAGCATGACCAGCAAATTGAGTCAGTTTACCGTCTAACTTGGAAAATATGGGTTGAGAGAGCATCAGAATTATAGCTCCCCTTTGGCTTGAGTCGCTCTGATGATGTGACAGTCTGCCTCTGAGAAGGGAGAGTTTTGTATCAGTTTGTATCTGAGAAGGGAGAGTTCTGTACCAGTTTGTATCTGAGAAGGGAGAATTCTGTACCAGTTTGTATCTGAGAAGGGAGAATTCTGTACCAGTTTGTATCTGAGAAGGGAGAATTCTGCACCAATTTGTATCTGAGAAGGAGAGTTATGTACCAGTTTGTATCTGAGAAGGGAGAGTTTTGTATCAGTTTGTATCTGAGAAGGGGAGTTATGTACCAGTTTGTATCTGAGAAGGGAGAATTCTGTACCAGTTTGTATCTGAGAAGGGAGAATTCTGTACCAGTTTGTATCTGAGAAGGGAGAATTCTGTACCAGTTTGTATCTGAGAAGGGAGAGTTATGTACCAGTTTGTATCTGAGAAGGGAGAGTTCGGGGATCTATTAGTCTTTATAAAAAGGTTGCTTAAAACGTTTGTTATTGTAATGAGAGCGGCCACAGGCATTTCTCTGTGCTTCCTCTTTTACTCTTTTCTCATACAGCACACTTAGATTATCAAATATTAACATTGCATATTTTGCTAGCTAAAAGGGCTGATTTGCTTAATTTGTTTTTGTTTACCACAGACAGGCCTGTATGCAATGCATGAACAGCAGTTAAAACACATTTAATAAAGCAGTCGTAAAATAAGGATAGAAACTTTGCGGCATTTAGCATAAATTTTTGAGTGTTTGAATTGCAGGAAAGGTAATAGTCCTCTGAGATGCTTATTAGTCATCTGTAAATGTAACTGTGTAAGATCCAGTGGAGTCACGGACAGGTTCGATTCTATATAACGTGAACAATACCGGTGATGAAACACAACCTTTGGGAGTTCCTGTATTGGTTTTCAAAGTTGATGACAGCCTACTGTGACTCGGACGAACGTCCTTCCTGAAGGACTCAATCCAACGAATGATATTACTATTGTGTGTTTATATTGTGTAGAAGTAATACGGTCGCGTCTGCTTCACCGCGACCAGAGCGCAGTTGTAGAAAGCGATCTTAGCGCTAAGGTGACCGTAACCTTCACATAGACATAAGGTAGTCTTTAGCACTGAGGTTGTACAACGGCACCCAGACTGAGCAAACTGGAGTGGATCCAAGACATGTGACGTTGACTGCTTTAGAAACTTTAGAATAATACGCCCTAGTAGTCTATAGGCACTCCATGGCAATTGACGAGAGTGCAACGTGGCGATAGTCAAGGACAGTTTGTTTATATTTCTCTGCAGTATAGGAATAATTCGAGGGATTTTCCATTGTGAGGGAACCCAATGCAAGTCAAAAGATAGCTGATACATTGGCTCTATATATGTTCACCCATTTGTCTGGTGTGCGCAAGGGGCTTTCTTGATAGGTGCACATGTACAGGATAAATATTCCAAATGAACGTAATTTTGTTATGTTGGACCAAGTGTTGATTTTCTTGCACAAGGTATAACATTGCGTTTTAATAAGGGTAGCACATGCACGCACACTGGTGCAGGATGTTTGGAGTAACCAGCCTTGAGTCTTCTCCAACAACATCATTGACCAGATGAGACGGCAAGTCAGTGTTGCATGCATAGTATCATAACACCACTTGTAACATCATAGGCTATGTTTGATGATATTGCTACTGTTTGACTTTTCTATTGCGAGTGGCCGTACGTGTAACCCCGGATGGTATGGACAACGGTAACTGCACGTGCATTTCAGGCAAATCCTGCTACGTTATTGTTGACGAACGCCGTCCGCCTCCATTCCTTGTGGAACTGTTGACAAGACGAAGCGTTATTGCGAAACATTATTCCTATTGAAAACACAAAAAAAAACAAACATCCCCAAACAAATATACGACTTTCTCAGTGCGCGCGCGTGTTTGTGTTTTATGTATCGGTTTGACATGTATCACTGCTGAACTAAATTCATGGGCCAAAGAAAGTATGGGACTGGAAAAATTATTTTTTCACTGTCATTGACATGGTTATGAGAATAAGACATGCTGGCAATGTTAGCCCCACTACTGGGAAGGGAAATACACCGCCAAAACGCAACACGTTCGAACGGTGAGAGTGATGACGTCACAAATGTGGAAAGCATGTTCCATGCCCCTAGCACATAATGCACGTGCAAAGTTTCGGTATAAATGCGATGCATCAGTCCCGTAATATCACAGCTGCTGAAAACACATGAAAAGTATGCCACGACTGACGCCAGAACACAGAGAGCGGGCCATAGGGATGTCCAATATGGGAGCGACGAACGTCAGAATTGCAAGAAGATTTGGTTGTACGCCACTGACGATAGCAAGACTCCTCCAACGATTCAGACAGACAGGCCGAACACAGGACAGGCCGAGGAATGGACGTCCGCGTGTAACCAGCGCACGTGAAGATCACCATATACGCCTGATACACCTCCGAAATCGATTTGTTACGGCAACGTCAACGGCCGAAACAGCGTTGGGACGTCGCATCAGTCGAAGGACTGTCCTCAGACGTTTGAGAGCAGGTGGAATACGTTGCTATGGACCATTCCGTGAAATGAGACTAACACAACAACATCGACTTTAAAGACTGACTGATTGAGTTTGGTTTTACGCCGCTTTTAGCAATATTCCAGCAACATCACGGCGGGGGACACCCGAAATGGGCTTCACACATTGTGAAGGATTCGAACCCGGGTCTTCGGCGTGACGAGCCAACGCTTTAACCATTAGGCTACCCCACCGCCCCCGACTTGAAAGACTGCAATGGGCAAGACGAGTATACCGCTGGCAAGTGCGTGACTGGCGTAGGGTCCTCTTCACCGATGAAAGTCGGTTTTGTCTGCACAAAAATGACGGCCGACAGAGAGTTTACAGGCGATGGCGTGAACGTTTTGCAGCAGCATGCATTCAAGAAGTCCATGCCTACGGTGGAGGTGGTGTGATGGTATGGGGTGGCATTATTGGCGACCAAACGACACCCTTGGTCGTTATTCAGGGGAATCTCAATGTTAACGAGTACCGAAATCAAGTCTTGCAGCCTGTTGTCTTACCTTTCTTGAACAATCAACCAGCAACTCCCCATACAGCAATAGCGACGAGAAACTTTCTCAATCAGAATAACGTTAATGTTCTACCCTGGCCTTCTCGATCACCAGATATGAATCCGATCGAGCATTTGTGGGATCATTTGGGAAGACAAATTTGTGGTCGTCATCACCCTCCACAGACAAGACAAGAGTTGGAAGTGGCACTGAGGGACGAATGGCAGCGACTGCCAAATGACGTCATCCGACGCTTGGCGTCATCGATGCGACGACGTGCACGAGCGTGCATTGAGGCTGCTGGCGGACACACACGCTACTTACGTTGTGATCGTTCTGGAACAAACTTTCTGTCTTTTGTGTGCGCAATTCGTCAAAGGAATATCATTGTAACTTTGGTATTTCCCCCCTGACTGTTTGAATGTCAATGTCACCTTTCAGTTCTTTCAACCAGGTGATGATTTGTACACACAGCAAAGTGCAAATGAATTTGCTACAAATTACATCTATTACATAATCCAAATCTTGTGTTGTTTCTGTTTTACTGACCTTCAAAATGACCTATACTTTCTTTTGCCCATGAGTTTATATTAGTGACTGATTTACCATAATATACCAAACCGACTGTTTGAAAGGGTATGGCAAGTAGCGGCTTACTGACCGCCTAAGGGCTGCATGTATATATTATCATATCAATCACTGACATGACCCCCAATGTCATACACGTACTTAACATTTTTGCCTGTGTATAAATTGATTTCCCCTAATCTTCAGCAGGTATGCTGTGAGCGTGCCTGCAGACATCCTGTGATTACACAGAAATGCTCATAATATGCCAATGTAATTAGCCCGTAGGCTACACCCAGCTCGCTCGACCTGGTGGAGGGTCAGTTTGAGCATGCGCCTCAGGCAGATCTAGGTCGCATCTGTGATAATTCACACATTATGGTCGAAGCGGGATGTTTTCAGATTAATATTTAGTCAGCTATAGATAGAATATACGTTGCATGTTGAACTGGTAGAATCATATTATGTCATATGTTACGCTGGATAACGGCGAGGTTGTTCAATGTTCACAAGGTTGCCAGGCTTCCATGGTGGTATCGGATGTCCAATAGCTATTGTCCGATGTTAACAGAGTACATCTATGTGGAAATGGACACCCCGCGATAGCGCTGATCGTATGTCTGTACCAGAGTCCAACAAGACAAACAACAGACCTGTAGACACTTTCAGTTACCCTTGACATTTAGCACGAAATATAATATCACTCAGTCGTATTAGAGTTAGACTTGCACAAGTCTCTAAGGTACAAAATTCATAGTTTAAATGATGATTTCTAAAAATAATAACAAATAACACACTTGGGTCCTTAGTCCGCTTATCTAGACATGCCCCTTCGAAGGATAGAATTACTATACATCCATTGGCTCAGCATTCAGTAGAGCCTTGGAGCAAGGTTAAATCAAAATATACACCAAGACTTTCAACTGTTAACTAATTGTAAAACGTGTTTAAAGCTGCTTCATCCTTATATTATAACATAAGGACAAATTACTCTAAACAGGAACATGCTTGCTCTTGTCATTTATATGTAATCCTGTGTTTGGCTAATGACCTAAAATAATGTGAAAAACAAATACAGACATGAAGCTTTACTACTGAAGTTTAATAGTTCAGAATAAAATTATATATAAACTTTTGTACATGAACAGCGCATCACCATCACCGTTTACACGTCATCAAATCATGAAATTATACTGTAATTTTTCACAAGGATGCCTAACAGCAACCAGAGATTACATCAAAGTTCTTATTTCAATGCATGACTAGATCTCAATAGGGGCTTTGTCTGCACCAATCCCGAAGGTCTAGCGGTCTTGAAGGCGGCTGGATCGAGTGGTCGGAGGGTTGGCTGACGTATTTCATTGTAAACCAGTCAAGATCACTAGATTGTCTGGTCCAGAGTACATTCTGTGTACTTACAGTTGTCAAAAAGCCTTAAACAAAAGCACAGATTAATTGAAAATTGTATACAACTAGAATATAATTCATTAAGACAGATACGTAAATATTGAACTTCAAAGTTATCTTAAAGTGACTACTATTTTAATCTTACTAATAACATTACAGGGTGTAGAAGTTTGGTTTGTTCAAACAGAGAACACGAGAAGGGCTGAATGTCGTGCGTGAAGATATGTTATTTTTTAAATATTCTGGACAATCACTAAAACTAATGAAAACTCAGTACGGGTAGATTAAAATGTAGTCACAGAAATCATCTTAATAAAAAATATATATCTAAAATTGGCCCCAATCCAAAAAGTCCTAATTGAGGCCAAGAGCTGAGGCTATCAAGACTTGCCCACACACTATTCTTTCTGGTGTATTGTTTGGCCAGGGAGAGTGATCTATATAACCGGAGGCATTGGTCGTGCTATCTATCGGCAGATCTATACCAACTTTACACATCCATACAGTCCGTCCAATGGGTCTGCAGAAATGCCACTTTCGATTCCATTCGGATCGTATTGTTTCAGTGATAGACTGTCGTCAGAGGACCGACATACCGTCGTCAATGGTCATTTCACGAGGTGGTTATATATCATACAACACCTGGTTTATGGTGTCCTTTCGCTCGTTGGTCGAGCTAAGGGGTCATAAACATCATCATATGTAACAAACCCCGACTTTATGATGTGAACGCCCCTACTTTTGACGGGTTCAGGTGGATCACGTGACACGTGACTTTTCGCACTGGACCGTGTCAGGCCGAGTGTGGGGGAAGTGAGTGCTGTACATAATGATGTTTTCAAAATGTGCACATGGGAAAGTTATTTGTAGATGATACGTGGTAGTGACAAGTGCAGTTTCATTGAGGATATACCCATGTGGCAGCCCCCGTGTCCATATCGTCGTTGGGAGGAGTAATACATGTTGTCAATCAGCACTTGTTGAATTTTCGCCAAAATTCTGTCACCTGCGGGCTGTGTTTTGGTGTTGATCAAGGCTAGCCATTGGCCTGGGCTTGGCCGTCTTGTGCCCTCTGACTGTCAGACCCAACCCAGCGGATTTACGCGCGGCGAAACAATGGCCGAGGACACACCGGATAACGATGCATGGGATGCAAAATTTCTCGAGGACGAAGAGATGGATTTTTTTACGGAATTGGCCCTTCACGAAACGGAGAGATGGATACAGGTATCTTACTTTCAATATATATCGCACGACACCAATGTCAGCATAACATAACATACAGACCTCCAGATAAGATTTACCTCATGTGGGTACTGTACCCACTGTATTTTTTTGGAGTGGGTATTATTAATGTTGAGTGGGTATTTCATTTTCCGTTACCCACTGCTTTCAAACGTGCGTATTTCAGTCATTTTATTCACCTAAGTATTATGTGACTGAGTAAGTTTACTAAGCAGGTATGTTCTGCCTTATGTCATACCTAATCAAAACCAACTTAAATATAATGGAAATGAGTTCATAAAAAAACACTCATCCTAAATGGACAGTACAGCACTTATACTAACAGTACAACTTGATAGCAATCGATGTCTTTTTCATTACGCAAGCGATTTTTATAAATATATTCCGTACGTGCATTTGTTTTAAAATTTTTGCATATCTAACATTTTAAATGTGTAATTGGTACGCAACAATTATTTTTCAATGCGTAATTGGAAATTTTATATGCGTATTTTACCCGGATACGCAGCTTATCTGGGCCTCTGACATATATTCATTCAGAAGCAGAGTTTTGTTTGCAAATTTAATGATTTGCTATATGTTCTCTGTTGCGGTCAGAACTTTTCTTAGTTAAATATAGAGGTAGACTCGGTCAGCAATATGAAGAAGGCCACACACTAGAGTCTATATATCGTTAAATCATTGTTGCTATCCAAACCAATAGTCCTCATAAAGGATATGAATATGATGAATAACACAATATATAAAACACTACAAACTGAACTTTTAACAAAAATATATATGTAATGTCATCAGATGTGAGAAAGTGGGGTCCCAACCAAACTCTTGGATGGATCCTACCACTCTCCCAATTCCAATGTAACCTGTGGCACATATCCCAATGGTATTCCACCATAACCCCGATGACATATCTCAATGGTATTGCACCCAAATCCTGATCACATATTCCAATGGTATTCCACCATAATTCCGATCACATATTCCAATGGTATTCCACCATAACCCCGATGACATGTCTCAATGGTCTTCCACCATAATCTGTGTCACATATCCCAATGGTATTCCACCATAATCAATGTCACATATCTCAATGGTATTCCACCATAATCTGTGTCACATATCCCAATGGTATTCCACCATAATCCTGATCACATATTCCAATGGTATTCCACCATAATCCATGTCACATATTCCAATGGTATTCCACCATAATCCTGATCACATATTCCAATGGTATTCCACCATAATCCATGTCACATATTCCAATGGTATTCCACCATAATCCTGATCACATATTCCAATGGTATTCCACCATAATTCCGATCACATATTCCAATGGTATTCCACCATAACCCCGATGACATGTCTCAATGGTATTCCACCATAATCTGTGTCACATATCCCAATGGTATTCCACCATAATCCATGTCACATATCCCAATGGTATTCCACCATAATCCTGATCACATATTCCAATGGTATTCCACCATAATCCTGATCACATATTCCAATGGTATTCCACCATAATCCATGTCACATATTCCAATGGTATTCCACCATAATCCTGATCACATATTCCAATGGTATTCCACCATAATCCATGTCACATATTCCAATGGTATTCCACCATAATCCTGATCACATATTCCAATGGTATTCCACCATAATCCATGTCACATATCCCAATGGTATTCCACCATAATCCTGATCACATATTCCAATGGTATTCCACCATAATCCTGATCACATATTCCAATGGTATTCCACCATAATCCATGTCACATATTCCAATGGTATTCAACCATAATCCATGTCACATATTCCAATGGTATTCAACCATAATCCATGCCATCTATCTAAATGGTATTCCACCATAATCCTGATCACATATTTCAATGGTATTCCATCATAATCTGTGTCACATATCCCATGGTATTCCAATGGTAAGTCCAACTTCATTCATTAATGCATATTGTAAACCAAAAGTCACTGTGTTCTTTAATCTGATTGGTTGAAAAACGTGATCAAATGGTATTCGATTCCCGGAAATTCGCTGCGTATTACTACATACAAACATCGCTCACACCATTGTATTGTTACGTCGTCAGCAGTGATGACGTCATTCAAATCATATTGTGACGTAAAGTCCGAATGACGTCACAAATGAGCAGTTCTAGATGCTACCATGAGAGACAGCCGAAACGGCCTGTTGATGACATTTCACTGCGGTACCCATACACGATGTCAATGAGTGCAGACACAAAAACGTGTGTGGACCTTTTGGTTTACTTTTGTGTTTACAATGTCGATAAACATCATGTGTTGGCCAAATTTTGGGTGTTATTGAGTATTTGAAGCACGGAATATTCCATTTGAAACCTCCGCTGACGCCGTCGGTTCCAAATGAATTCCCGTGCTTCAAATACTCAATAACACCCAAAAATTGGCCAACACATGATGTTTATCTCCTAATTATACACACAATTGGTGGTCTGATTAATTGAAATAATCGAAGATTGGTCACAATGACTAAACGACCAAGCAATCGATCATGTTTTTTTCATAATCGAACAACACAAACAATTCTGGAACACTTGTTTTCATTGACAATATTTTTCACAACGGGTTTGGCTGGTCAGGCTTGCTGGCTTGACTCATCATATCCCAATTGTGTAGAACGATGCTGATGCTGTTGATCACTGGATTGTCTGGTCCAGTTATTTACAGAGTGCCGCCATATAGCTGGAATATTGCTGAGTGCAGCGTTAAACAACAAACCAACCAAACCATAATATACACACAGTTAAAAATAATTTGAATCAGTAACATTATCTTGTACCTTTGTAACATTATCTACCTTTGCAACCGTACAAGTGTTTCAATGCAGACATTTCCAGTTTCATATTTTCATAGGATTTCTTTTTCAGAATATAATCAGATTTCAACAGATTATTCATTGGTATGCTTATTAGAAGTAAGGTTTGGATAATAATTCCACTTAATCATATGTCAGTGTTTAAAATATTAAATATTTCCATCAGCATGATCAATGATAGTTATACATGTTAAATATGGAACCATTTTTGCCATTCACTTGGAAATTTGCATCTCACTAATGATTAACATCATAACCGAGTTGTTAAACAAATTGCAATTTCTTGAAGAACACACTTGTTTTGCAATTTTTGTCGTTACCATAAGAAATTTATATATTTGCTGCAACATTTTGTCATCACTTTTAATAAGCATTAGCACACACGCAAATTACGTGTATCATAGAGTAATCATGAAAATGTTGGAAAAAGAGCTGCATCTGCATGTTCTTGCACTAATGGTGTTGTCTAAATGGGTTTTTTTTGATAATATTCAACTTTCACATACATTCAATAATATTGTACAATAAAACAAACATCTGTACACACAGTTTATATTGAATCAAAAAATGTTTCTTAAATCAAAACAAATTGATAAAGTAATTCATAGTAACTGGATTTTACTACTTGTGGCCAAGAAAAGTCCAATGTTCCATAGTGTGTCAATGAAGTTTTGTAACGTATTTCTCTATCCTTTTGACGTAATTCCAAGATAAAATGCCTGGTGGTCCATCAACCTGGTCAACTGAGTTTTCCAGTTATTGCCATGATTTGCTGCAGTGGGAAGATGTATTGGAGGTTGATTGAGAAATGCATTTGTTCTAAAAATAACTATGCTGCTGTAATAGATTATAAACTATGGTGAATGTCATATCATAGATGCTTATCTAGTGTGTTTGTAGATTTGTATTTATGCCCTGTACTCTCTAGTGTCATGCCATACTGATTCTGGTAATTCTTCAACCACACAAGTACTTTTCTTGTCATCATGAAAATGAGTACCAGTACTTGTAGACTAACAACTAGTCTTTGAAATAAACATATTTTATGGAAAAACAGTTCTTTGATGATCTTATCATGTTGATGAACTATAGTGAATAGGGTCCCAGAGGTTTTTCTTCATTTTCAGAAACTGCAGAAACTAGATGAACTTGTATCATAGACTTGCATGGGCTGTGTTGTATATACTTGTTTCAAGATGTCTATGATAGACTACAATATTAGTTTTAAACCAATAAGTACTGTGCTACCCATCTGTAGAATTGACAAATACAGGTGTGCTATTGTGCTTCTATCATTCACAAATCTGATGTTATATTTTTGGATTCTGATTCCAACAGTGAAGTAAATTAACTGAGAATTCAAGTGGGTTTATTAACCAATGGCAATGCAGGATTGGGAGAAAATCCATTTGTTGCCCACATGAAGTGACATTTCCTGTTGTAGTAGAAAGTAATACCTAATACAGTAAACAGAATTTTACCAATGTTTTGATGAACATTTTTTAGAATAAAAAGACATGATAAAGCAACAATTACCATGACAGAGTTTAGTTTTTAAGCCTGCATATTTGATACGGTTGTAAGTTGCAATCCATCTGTATTGGAGTAGTTTTCATGTGAACCATCTATTTAGAGCACTGATCTCATTTGACCAGTGTTCATGATTTGCAAAAGTGAATGTTGTGTCATGTACAAACAGGATTATGTTAAATAATGACTGATCTAAAATATGTGGACGGTAGATAACTAGTATGGGGCCAGCGTCGGGTAGGATGAAGTGTGTTGATGTAAGGGTGTAGAGGGGTGGGATGAAGTGTGTTGATGTAAGGGTGTAGAGGGGTGGGATGAAGTGTGTTGATGTAAGGGTGGAGAGGGGTAGGATGAAGTGTGTTGATGTAAGGGTGGAGAGGGGTAGGATGAAGTGTGTCGGTGTAAGGGTGGAGAGGGGTAGGATGAAGTGTGTTGATGTAAGGGTGGAGAGGGGTAGGATGAAGTGTGTTGATGTAAGGGTGGAGAGGGGTAGGATGAAGTGTGTTGATGTAAGGGTGGAGAGGGGTAGGATGAAGTGTGTTGGTGTAAGGGTGGAGAGGGGTAGGATGAAGTGTGT